CACACACACCTCACCATGGCTTGGCACAGGTACAGATCTACACACAGACCTCCCCCCCCACACACACACACACCTCCCCATGGCTTGGCACAGGTACAGATCTACACACAGACCTTCCCCCCCACACACCCCACCATGGGCTGGGACAGGTCTACACACACACACACACACCCCAGCATGATGGGGTAGAGGTAAACACACTCCCTCACACCCCACTGTGGTTGGGGACTGGTACAGGTATATACACACACACACACACACGCACACCCAGCGTGATAGGGTACAGGTACACACCCACACCAGCGCGATAGGGTACAGGTACACACACACACACACCAGCACGATAGGGTACAGGTACACCCACACCCACACCCACACCAGCGCGATAGGGTACAGGTACACACCCACACCCACACCAGCGCGATAGGGTACAGGTTCTGAGCTGGTGGGTTGTGTGGGTTCTCCATGCCATATGGAGCTGATCCCCCTCCCCCCCGGTTGGCTTTAACCCAGGCAGTGCTCTGGTTGCTAATGCCCCCTGCTCTGGAGGAAGCCTGGCCTGGGTTATGTGAACCTGGCCTGGCATTTAGAGACAAACAGCTGGTGATTTTCTCCTTACTGGTGCCCAGAGATGGTCCCCTGGGCCTGGGGTGCCCCTGGGAAGATGAGTTTTGTTTCCAAGGAAGACCCTCCACCTGCAAGCCTCCTTTCCCCACCTGCCCCTGGGCCTGCAGCTGAGGGGGATTCATGCAGAGGAGACCAGAGACCCAGGTTGATCTGCTGATTCATTCAAGGTTCTTTTATCTGTTACACAAACAGGGCTATCTCTCAGCGGAGACCAGACACCTGCTGTGGCCAGGAGCCCCCTGCTAGCCTGGGCTGGCTTAGTTCCTGGGAGTAGACTCAGATCTTCCAGCCAGATGTGCTGGCAATGAGCATCCTCCCCTAAGGGCAGGGATTTGGGGGTTGTGGTGTATGAGATCAGTCATGTCACCCCGTACAGGTAACAACACCCACCAGGGATGGCTACAAGGTACCTCCACCACAAGGGGATGTGGTGTTACCCCCCTGCTTGGTAGCATTGTTAATTGACAGCAGAAATGCTGGCAAATACTAAAACCTTGATGAGCGCCTCAGTCTAGCTGCACTCCTGGCTTGGCTGTTGTTTCTGTGGGTCCTTCTCACACAATTTAGTTTTCAAACGTTGTCATGGGGAAGTTCTGTCTACTACCTTCCCCACTCCCCATATACCCCCATCACAGCAGGATTGGAGCACCCCCCCATGCAGAAACAGAACCCAAACACGTTCTCTCTCTTTTCCTTCCGAGACTGTAGGAGGAAGAGCTTATAATGTGTGTGTGTGTGTGTGTATGAGCAGGTGTGTAAGTGGGGAGGTGTACTATGTGTCTGGGGGGGTGTACGCCCTGTCCAGGTGTGTGCGTGTGTGGGTGTATTCCATGTCTGAGTGGGTGTGTGTGTGTGCGTGTGGGTATATTCCATGTCTGGGTGGGTGTGGATGTGGGTGTGAGTGGGTATATTCCATGTCTGGGTGTGCAAAGATCTGTGGGGTAGGGAACACGTCTTCCTAAGTGTTTGCACAGCACCTAGCGGAGTGAGGTCCCAGTTGGGGCGTGTGAGCGTTACCACGATATAGATATTAAACGCTACGAGTGACAGCTCGTCTCCAGGCAGCGCAGCCCAGGTATAACAGAGACATCACCTGCATACCCAGCTACGCTCTGCTGCATCCTCCAGGCACGGATTCCCTGCTCCGTCCATGTATCCTCTAGAGACTTTACTTTGCCCCTCAGCCCATAGCTGAGGTGAAGAAACCATTTCCACTGAAAATGGCAGAGTGCAAAGGAGGCGGCCGACCCCAGGCTCCTGGGCGGGGGTGTTAACCTGAAACCTCCCCAACGACCTTGTCCGTGTCTCTGGCTGTCACGCCCTACGTGTGACCTGAGACACTTGGTCACGGGTTGAAAGGCCCAAGTTGAGAGCTGTGGTGTATGACTTGGCCTTTGCAAAGGGCTCACTCCTGGGCAGTTGGATTTCAGCTCCCGGCGCTAGGCAGGAAGGAGGCTGGGCCTGCCTGGCTCTTGGGAAAGGAGAGAGAATGGAGGAGGCGATAGGAAAAGTTGAAAATTCAGCCCCAGGACTCACCTAGCTCGGCCTGCACTGCTGCTTCCTCCATGTAATATCTGCCTGCTCCAGCGCCTCTGGTTATATAGCAGCCGGCTGGCCGGGGCCCGGGGCAGGGTTTGTAGAGCAGTCAGCACTATGCTTTCTCTGAGATCCTTTCTGCTGAGCCTCAGCGATTCCGGCAGCTCAGCCCCATAGTCTGAGCCACGGTCGCCTGTTTGCCTGGCTAATCTTGGTCACAAATGACTCAACGGCTTCGTTGTTCTGGTACTTTCCAGCCTGGCAGCATCATTCCAAGCTTGGGGTTCTGTCTCTGTCCCCTCTCCTCTCCCCTCCCCTGCCGGGACGCCCCCCACGATTGCTCAGAAAGGGTCTTGGTATTTCCTTTTTCAGGCCAGTGTTTTGACTGTTGTCAGAGAGGAGCCTCGCAGAACGGGACAAAGCTTTTCCCCAGCAAGAGAAGAAAAAGAGACCAAGAGTGAAGGGGGGATGCTACCCAGCCTGAAGCACCCCACTCTGCTAGCAGCTGCTGGGAAAGGGGTGAGTCCTGCTGCCTGACCGAGCCAGAGGGCTTGTTACCCCACGTGCATGTAAAGGGAGGGGAGCAGCTCTCTGGGCAGAGAAGATTTAGGGTGTGGGCTGAGTGACCCTGAGGGAGGACCCCTCTCAATCTATATTAGTACTCAGACGGCCCCCGTCACCCTAGTATCTGAGAACCGCATCATCTTTAATGGATTTACCCCCCAGATTATCCCATAAGGGGAATTATCCCCATGGTTCCGATGGGGGAACTGAAGCCAGAGAGGCTAAGTGACTGGCCCAAGGTCACACGGGAATCAGGAGCAGAACCAGGAACTGAAGACTGGTCTCCCAAGCCCCAGGCCAGCACCCTGACCGCTGGGCTGTCCATCCTCTCTAGGAGCCCCAAAGTGAGTGAAGGCGTCAGAGCTGAACGTGACCTGGGTTTTGATTTGTGTGTTAATTAACCTCCCTCCCAGGGGGGAGCGGGGCTCCCTGGAGGTTTGCTGTCTGAGACCAGCTTGGGAAGGGCTCTGGCTGAGGGCTCCGAGACAGAGGCAGCCGCTGGACACTGACAGAGACAACGAAGTGCATCACCCCAGGTCCGTACCATCGAGCGCAGGCCTGGTGCAGTGTGAATGTCAGGCCATGCACCAAGGCCCTGCTCAGCAGTTCCCCAGCCCGGCTTTCCAGGGCCATCGTCTCGCAGCAGTTGGTGCTGAGCAGAGGGGTCTCTCCAGGGTGGGTAACATCCTGCAGCACAGACGGCCTCCCAGGAGCTCTGCAGGCGAACGCCAAGCTGCTCAGGGTGGAGGAAAGGAACCTGCAGCCGGTCTCTGGGCCGCACATGCTCTTCTCACCACCTGACCTTCAGCTAACCGGGTGGGTGCAGGCTCCCAGAACTACCCTTGTCCCGGTGGAGACAAGGTGGGTGAGGGAATATCTTTTATTGGACCAACTTCTGGTGTGGAAGGTACAGGCTTCTGAGCTTCACAGAGCTCTGCTTCTCCTCTGGAGAGGGTAACCGGAGCCGCTGAGCTAAAATACAAGCTGGGCAGATGGTTCAGAGGTGCCAGAGGAGACCTTCTCTTGGTGCTTTGCAGACCAGCTCGGGGGGTGTTTGTGGGCTGCAGGAGACCTGCTGTGCTTGGCAGAGCCCCAGCCCGCGAGCTCTCTGGGCAGGAGCTGTCTGTGTGCTGGGCCCTGCTCTGTTAAATACTCCCCTGCTAGCTATCAGAGACCTGCAGAAAGCGTAAAGCGTCTCACCAGCAGCCCAGCTCCAGCCTACACTGGTGGCCTCACACTCCATGACTGGGGCCCTGATCCTGCCTGCCCCGCGCTCTTTGGTCACCATAGTTACCGGATCTCTCTTTGTCCCATCCCTGCCCTGGGGTTATCCCAAGTGGCCTGGTATGAGCAGGTTTCAACCCAGGACCACCCACTGCTGACCCCTGCAGGCCATGAGTCCCGTGGGTGGACGGGCAGGGCTCCTTGTGGCCAGGCCCTGGGCCAGGGCATGCCAGGCCAGGCCTGTGTTTGCTGTGAGGCTGCTGGGGCCTGGGGCCTTCTGCCTTCGCATTGACTGCACAGAGGTGGCTGCCTGCCCTGCAGCGCTCTCCAAACAAGTGAGGTCATGCGCAGGCTGCCGGCTCAGCGCATTGCTCCCCGCGGCACAATGCGGCCCTATGACGTCTGACTGCCCCTTTTGTTTGGCACTAAGCAGTGAGAGGGGACAAACAAAGCGCCCCGTCAGCTCCACCTGGGCCTGGCTATTGTCCTAGCAGGGCTCTGGAGGCTGGGCTCCCGCGCCAGCCCCGGCCAAGGGGGCACACAGGGGCACTGGCTCTCCCCAGCGCCCTTTTCCTGGAGCCACCATTGCCAGGGTGCTCTGGGCCGAGGGAGGGGCCCTCACCCCACAGGAACATTCCTGGGGTAGGGGGAGCATACAGCCATCTTTTCAACAAGAAAGCCTCTACCTGGGGTGTCTGCCCCCTGTCCCCCACTGGACGTGTGGAAGGGAAACAGGGCAGCCTGAAGTCCCAGGTAGGGCACAGCAGGTCTCTGTTCCGCTGGGGAGGAAAACGCCAAGCTGCAGTGTGATTGCCCAGCCCCTGCCCTAAGGGCCAAGGGCTGCGTACCCTCCACCAGTGATGGGAACCAGGCGGGGCAGAGGAACACACCAGCACAGGAGAATCAATTACGGCTTGTAGGAAGAAGCCAGCCTCAAAGTGGGTTATTGCTCCTACAGTCGCAGGACTAGGGCTCGATGGTCATTTGGGCCACAAGCCCACGCAGGGGCCTAAGCCCCTCATCATGCCCACATGTGGGCTACACAGTGCACTGGGGCAAGTGGGAACTGGGCACCTTTCCCACTTACCCCGGAACAGGGAAGTGGGGAGTAGGTGGAGGCTGGGCTCTGACCCCTAAAACACCAGCCGGCCCAGCTGAGCTTGCATGGGGCGTGGTCCCCTCTCCTGGAGTGCGCCTGGAGGGGGCTTGTCTGAGGGCACACTCCTGGGGCAGTGCAGCTCCTGCACTCCCCCGGCTCAGGGCTTTGCCTGACGGCACAATTGAGCACTCAGAAAGGCTTTTACAAACTGCATATTACTAACCTGGAGAAAGTCTGCCCCTAGTAGGTGAGGAGGGAGAGGAATCTGTGCTGATGCCCCACCCCAGAGCTGCCTGGTCTTCAACAAGAACAAGGAACATGCTACGCCCGACAGACAATCACACCCTCACATTGAGTTTTAAGGCCAGAAGAGCCTCCCCCAGGGATTCTTGCAGTGAGCCCAGATCCATTTCCTTCCGCAATCCTTCAGGGCTGGATTTAAAGCTGTCATGTGACAGAGGACCCCCCAGAACCCTCGGCAAGTTGTTAAGTTAATTCCCCTCCCTGCTAGAAAATTGTGCCTTAGCTCTAGTTAGTTCCAGTCTGAATTTCAGCTTCCAACCAGTAGACCTTGTCCTGCTTTTTGCTGCTAGTATAAAGAGCTGCCTATGATCAAAAATCTCTTCCCCAGATCGGTCCTTATAGACCATAATCAAGTTACTTCTCAGCCTTCTCTTGGATGAGATCAATCGATTGACCGTCTTTAGTCTCTCACTCCAAAGCAAGTTCCCAGACCCTGAGTCCTTTTGTAGCAATAAACCCATTTTTTAACCAGTTTCAGTTTGCAGCATCCTGTCTGAACAATCTCCTCCTTGCTGCCTTAGATATTTGTGTGAGATCGCTGCCCAGATGCTTTTCAGAGCACGGAAGGCCCAGCGGATCTGTGGATATACACTTGCTCCAGAGACCTTCTCCTCTATTTGAGATACGGACAGTGTGCACTGAAGTCATCTCAGGCCAGACTCTGCCATCCCTACTCATGGTAAGTAGCACCTCACTCTGCAAGTACCCTGGGGGAGTAAAGCACTATTCAGTGTGAGTAACAGTGGCAGACTCTGTCCCTTTCCTACCACCTCTGTTCCGTATTTCAACCAGCAACGCAGCTTCCCTTAATAACAGACACAGGATGTGGCTAATTAAGCTGCAACTTCAGGTGGCCAGTATGTGCCAGCAGACTTGGAGAAGTCCTCTGTGATACACCTAGTCAGCAGCATGTGGTGTAAGCGCTGCTTGGTCCCTTTTCTGACAGCAACACAGGAATGGGGCTACAGTGAGTGCAGAATCGGGCCCCCTGGTGTTGCCGTACTGCTTCTGGCCACTGGAGGGAGAGCGAATCACAAGAAGTGAGCTGGTCCGTCTGTGCCCAGGCCCGGCAGCGGACACATGCGCCCAGGTGGCCTGTGGCCCTGCTGGCTGCAGAGTTTTGTCCCCTCCAAAAGCCACCCAGGCGCCCGCCAGCCAGACACAACGAGAGCGTGGGGTGGGGGGCGTGGGGGGAAGCGGAAACTTTCCCTGATCGTCTCCTTTGGGACGGGGGTGGGAGGGGATGCTGGTTCTTCAGCCTCGAGCAGGGAGCTGCAGAGGGACCCAGGCTGGGCAGATCGACGGGGGCCCGTCTGCACCCCTGTGTGGGGGGACGAAGGAAAATGAAATGTTCTCCGTAAAGCTGCTGTTGTGCTCGTACGGCTGCTGGTTTAGTTAGTCTTTGTAGCCAAAGGCAGAGGCTGTTAACGGGGAGCAGACCTACAGCATCTCCCTGTGATCCTCGTGTGCCCTCCTGCCCCCCGTCCACCGGCCTCCACCAGCTGCCCCTCGCCTTACGCTTGGGGAAGGGGCTGTCCTTGTGCTCTGTGCTGGTCCAGTGCCTAGCGCAACGGGGCCTGATCTGCACCAGCACAATACAAACAGTAATGAACAGACAGGAAAGGCAAAAG